ATATATATAATTTCTAAGTCACTTTCTCTAGGAATTTCTGTGAGAGAATTAATTACAATTATAATGATCATGAAAACAATCATTATACAGAATGTTTTTCACAAAAACCCTATTGGAAGGCATAATTACTATAATTTTCATAATTTACTGGTAAAGAAGTGAAGGTTCAAAAGATTATGCAAATTATTCAAGTTAGGTTGAATAAAAATATATCTCATTCCACTCATCTTTCCTTCTATGGAAGTTCTAACTCTTCGGCTTAAGTCTTTGTTTTTTATTTTAAAAAATTTAAAACACAGCTTTGGAGAAAATCATTCACTATTTATGCTCCATCCTAGGGACTATCCTGGGTGTTGAAGCTGATATGTCACACAGAAGCAGGCACAGTTGCCCTCTCCAGGAAGCCTACAGTGTAGGATATCTGATCCTGTGTTTCTCACCCTCTGGGATGTTATGGCCTTGAAGACGCTGATGAGAACTATGGACCCCGGGAAAATATCTGCTACACGGTGTCAGGAGATGCAAAGTTGCCCTGAAACTCATCTGTGACTTTAAGGTAAGAAACCAGCTCCAGGCCGGTTCTAGTATTTATTTCTAAGGATGAGAATGCATTTGGGAGACTTCCAGGAGGAGAAAAAGGTTTACTGGAGGTAGGGCATCTAGACAGCAAGAAGAGTCTGGGGAACTCGGTGAATACCAGTATGGATAAGCTTGGAGTAGCAAAAACCAATCATTTTGCCCATGGCTGCTCCCTGGTAAAAGTGGTGTAACTCAAGAAAAGGGACGTGCTGAACGGAAGCTGTGACTCTACAAGGCTACAGATTGACATTAAGATTGAACAGATGGTCAACGCAATAACGCAAAGTACCGATTCTCCTTTCACTGATACAGCACTGGATCGACCTACTCACTCCTGGCTGTGCATTGTGATGAAACAGATCCTACTTGACGGGGCAGCAGAGTTCAAAACCAACCAACAAACAAGCAAACAAGCAAACCAAAACCCAGAGACATGCCTGGTTGGCAAAGCTGGACCTGACCGTGGTTGGAACACACTCCTCCAGGTTGGCATCCTCAAAGATGATGGCAGGGTTCTTGCCCCCCAGCTCCAGGGAGAGCCTCTTGCAGTGGGGAGCACTCAGCTGTGTGATCCGCTCGGCTGTGGGCTGGCTCCCCGTGAAGGAGATGAGGGGCACCTCTGGATGGGACACCAGGGCCTCGCCTACCCTGGGCCCTGTTCCAAACACAATATTTACCACACCTGGTGGAACACCTGGATGGGAAACAGTATCAGTTATAGTAAGTATTCTCAGTATGTTGAGGACTTGAGGTTACATGGAGATTCTCCTTGAAAATCCAATAGGTGGGAGTGAATTCATGGCTATCTCTAGTTTAATAGTAAAGCAAAAACTACAGTATCACCTCTGCCTAGCATACACCCTAGGCGGAATTTCTCCAGATGCTTTGCCCCAGAAAATGCAGGGTACAACATTCTACATAATTCATTCCATAAAACTGACTAGGCCTCCGAGGCTGAGGATGCAGAGATTCCTCAGGTGGGTCAAGCCCTGTGAGGGAGGAGAGCCCTGCTCCAAGCTGGCATCCAGGAGTCACAATGCCGTGTGAAAATGTCACATAGAGGGGAGTGCTAGTGCTGCAAAATCCAGGGAAGACACCAGGGCCAGGGGAGTGAAGGCGGCTCTCCCCACCCCAGGAAGGTAAGTTTTGAGTTGAAGCTCCTGAGCCCCATGATATAAATGAATCACTACAATCTAGGTCTGACTTAAAGTACCAAGAACACCCAAAATTAGAAGCCCCAGTCCAGTCTTTTCTATCATGAGATCCTACTGCCCTATGTCTGCATGTATTTACTTATGTTTACCTGTTTATTACCTACCCACCACTAGGAGGTACACTAGCTAAGAGCAGAATAGTACTTGTGTTTTGCTCTCCATTGCGTGTACCTCCTGCACACAGCCTCATAATTGTTAAGTAAATGGATGCTTATCTAAATGTACACTTGCTCTCCATTGTCCGTACCTCCTGCACACAGCCTAGTTTGCCACATAGGATTAATACCATTAAGTGCTGATTCTCATTTACTAGGTGCTTACTGCGGGTCAGTCATTGCTGTAAGGGATTTACCTTCTTTAGATCCCCCAACACTTCTATTAGAGAGGCAGCATTGTTAGGAGATAATTGTTAAGTAAATGGATGCTTATCTAAATGTACATTATCCGGATTAGAAATGGCCCTTGACTTCAAGTGTTCAGAGAGAAAAATCTGTGTGCCATTGTGTTGTGTCCTGGGGGCCCTTAGGGTTTGCCTGGAGGCAGCTGAGTTTGGTCCCTCTGTTTCTTCAGGCTTGAAGTACATCAGGGACAGAAGTCTCCAGTGTATGAGGATTTTGAACTATTTCCAGCTCCTAGTATTTTTCCCTTGCTCCAGATTAGACATTCTCTCGACAGAAGAAACATAATTTGGATTAGAACATTCTCTTCAAGGATATGCTTCTAAAGTATAAATAATAATGTTACATTGATGATTCATTATCATCCACCAAATCTTTGCATAGAGCCACAGCCTTAGCCCAATCACCTTGAGGCCACAACCGAGGCCCCATTCAGGTGAGCTCCTCTACACTCAATGTGCACATGTTGAAATCTAGCATAGAAGTCAGTTTTCTGGATCATATATCTCTGCCAGGAGAGGAGAGGCCCAAAGCCAGGCACCATGTGACAGCAGCTGGGCCCTGGGTTGGGGCAAAGAAGATAAGAGGGGGAGAAGTCCTCCCTGTGGCTGATGGGAGGAAAACAAGAACAAGTGTCCCACCATTGGCAAGAGGGGAAGAGGGGGGGTGGACTCTATTTTGTAAAGAAGGGGGTGAAAACCTGATCCCTGTGTAAGGGAGGGATGGCACATTCTGGAACATGAGAGAGTCAGGCACATTCACATCACACCCCCTCCAGAGGCCTAGAGCATCTACAGATGTGATCCCAAAGACCTAGGCTGGGAGGCCTCATTCCTCGGTAGGATACA